AAAATTTTCAAAAGACTATCAAAAATCAAAATTTTGAATTTTCCGAGAGTTGTGTAAAAATTTCGACGTTGCCGTTTTTGCAAAAATTATTCATGCAACCAACCTGCAATTTCAAATGAACCCAAAAATTTTGGGTGTAGTAGCAAACGCAAAAAATTCTTACAACCATTTCTTTGATTTGAGCCCAAAACCTCAGATATGGGGTCGTACTTTTTGAGAAAACTCAAATAAAAAACTGACATTTCCGAGGGCGATAACATTTTGTGTAAAAAAATTTAGGAGTGGCTGCTAAAGCAGGGGAAATTCTTACAATTTTCCTCTCTATTGAACAAACAATCTCAAATTGAGGATATCATTTTGCAGCAAAATAAAAATCCGTGCTGCAGTTACCTACGACAAAAAAACTAGAGCAGAGAAACGAAAGTCCGAACATTCAATTTTTAAAGGAATTTTTTTAAACATTACACATACCGAAAAAACAAAGCCCTACGAAGAAACCAAGCCCCAAACCATAGGGTGCAAAGGCAATTGATTTACCTCGAGGACAAGTGGGAAAGAACCCGCATGTTGTTAAGGTTCAATAATAAAGCTAGTTCTTTTATTTATAAGAAAACTTGTTTATGGGAAAAATAGTCTAGTTCCCAATTACGAGACACTTGATGCCAAAAATCTAAATATAGCATCGAATGACTCCTCGTTTTAATAATCTACAGAAAAAAAAATTTCTAATATTTTCTTGTTTATAAAACAGGTACCGCTCTGGATTCCTCGTCCTCGGTTTGCTAAGGATTCCTCGTCCTGAATTTTTGCAATTTCTAAATTGTGTTTTGCACAATGTCGCAATTCCAATATAACATTTTCTTCTACTTTCAACTCTTTACATAGCTACACCAAGTTTTTTCACAAGCTTGTACGACAGATCATCATTGTCTCCTAATCACCATAATATTTTCAAAATATGGCTTTAAAGACCAACGCTGTCGGCCTCTCACGAAGTTTTCTATGATGACCAATTCAGAAAACTATTTTGATCTGAATTTGAACAACAGCTGATTTACCCTTAAATAAGTTTGCTGTTTGGCGTTTAGGTTTTCATAACTAGTTTGTATATTCCAATTTTATAGTATCAAAAACCATTGTTTTTCTCTTTTTCGTAATATTTCAAGTCTTATTTGTATGCTACCCGCACTCAGTAAAAAGAAAACGTAATCGATTGTTTTACAATTATAATTGTATTTTTATTACAATTAATTATAAGCGCCAAATTTAGATGTTTAAACAAATTTTAATCCATTATAATGATAACATTTTTCGTGACATTATAATAAATTATTAACAATTATAATTGGCTATAATTTTTCGAAAATTATCTTATAATCTCGTACAATCTATTTTAATTTCTTGAAATTTCTTATAATTTTTTATTATTTATCATAATAGTTTATAATCATTTTTGTGTCAAAAATCTTTATAAGTGAGATGTCAACTTATCTTTTTGGATCATTGAAAACAAAGTTTTACCACGAAACAAAAATTTCATAGAGATCCCTTCAGATTTGTTGAAAGAATCCTGGGGTAGGTGAATTACAACTCTTATATACAAATATGATACTAAGACAGGATGCTGATGTTTTGGTGGTCAAAAAAATTTGAAATATGCATCATGAAACAACTACAATCAAGAAGACAAGAAACAAAAAACGTTATAAATTTGAATGAGTTTGAAAGCCATTTTTCGCATAAACCAACGTCTGTGAAACGCATAAACCAACGTCTATGAAAAGCATAAAACATAAGCAATTCGGGGGAAGTCGAAGACCAAATGGGCAAACAAAGGGATTATAAAAAATTATAATCGAGAATAATCGATTATAATGTTTTTTTTCCTGCAAAACGAATAAATTAGAAATTTGGATAAAAACAGTCGTTTATACACGTCTATAATTTATTATCATTGATTATATTGATTTCAAAAATAGAGATTATAATCGATTATTAATTGATTAAAATCAATTTTTCTCAATTTTTTTCAAGATTGGTACTAAAATCATATTATAATCGATTATTAACGCTTGAAAGTTGATATGGGCAGTTGAACCATTTTGAGTACAAAAGCTGAGGAGCTAAACCAGTCATTGGACCAAAAAAGTTATTATGACAAGTTTTATGACGCCAACCTGAGACTGTCAAGTGAAGTCATCGTCAAATCAAAGTCGAACCGTGAGAAAAGCAGTTTGAAAGAGAGTCAAGCAGGGTCGAATCATGAGTCATACAGTTTCGAGTTAGGGGTCAAACTTGGTCGAGTCATGAGTCGAGCCAGGTCAAATCTTAGGTAGAAAAGAGTTGAATATTCTTTATAGTAACAGTTTGTTTTTATTTGAAATTTGAGAAAAACGTCCACAGAATCAAATGCCTCCCGCTGCTGAGTTGAGCAAATCGACCCTCAAACTCGAAGCGTTGGTACTAATTAAAAATTTCAGTGGGGTTCATGTGTGAAATAGAAATGTAAATAACCCCACAATGAGAAAGAAATTTTTGCAAAAATTTGTCCCAAATGTTGTAGTCTCAAGGTTGAAAAACAACAACAAAAAACGACAAAAATCAAACCCGGATGTTGAATGACCAACAAGATCAAAACTGGACACCACTAGATCAGTTCGGTCAAATCAGGAATCGGGTATAAGTTCTGAATGAGTCCTCGTGGTAGTTGTCGTGAAATTGGACAAAGCAGATTCCAAGGTATGACGTTGTGATTGCCTTTGTAGGCAAAATTGCATTGACTACATTACGATCCATTCAGCTCCGATCCTAGTCTCTTGTTTTTTTTTGACGGTGTAATTGCAACCCAGATATTCAGCAAATGCATCGGTTTAGGTGGAGAAGATTGAAAAAGCGAGTGTTCGGAGAAAAAATCCAGAAGCCGATATATATCAAAGTTAGATTTATGTTTCACGACAAAACACATCGAGAAAAAACGTGATCACTTGACGCAGAAGTTGAAACTTTAATGCTGGTGTTTTACGTCGAAGAAGATCTCTTTTTGGAGCACGGTGAAGCAGCACAGCTGTAGAGAAAATGTTAAACTGGAACAGGGTAAAGCAGCACATCCTGGGAGAATTATTAAATTACAATTGCGGGCTGAGCTGAGGCCTGGACTGTGAGAACGGCAAAATAAATGCACTAAGGAGACCTCTCAATGACGACCCACAGCTGGAAGACGCCCTACAGGCTACTTCCTTCCCCACAAATCTTACCTCAAAGATGGTTTTTTTGAGAAAAGCCTGAAACTGTACCATTCTACTATGAGTACTTTGTCTTTTCAAATAAACAAAACAAAAACTGAAACAATTAGCAGAAAGGACGACAACTGAAAAGTTTTGTTCGTGGACTATCAGAGACGTTGACTGTTTGGCAATTTGGAGGACGAGACAAACTAATATGCGGGCAAACCTGTAGCATTCCAATTGACTGACGCGTCGAGTTTCCGTCATAACTTTCAGTCAGTTACACTATTTCCACAAACAGCAGCTGTAGTTGTAAGACCGCATGATTATCCATGAACTACCGTTTTTTAAAAGAAGTTTTGTGTATATATTGACCAACAAATTGAAAAAAAATTAACTGATTTGATTTCTGAAGCTTACTTATTTTATTGCCTGTAAGTTTTGTTTGTTTGCAATTGTTAATTTGAGCAAGCAGAAAACTTGATGCAAAATTTTTTGGACTTGAGAATGAATCGACGGCATTTAGCATATTTGCCGAAAAAAGTACACTAGTTTTTGAAGAATGTAGTTTCGATAAACCTATAATTTTATTGACTACATAACTTGCTATTAGATAAATCTTGAGTGCGGAGTTGTAGTGCTGATTTAAATTATCCGGACAAAACGAACAAAACTTGAATTTTCAAACAAATTTCTCTCAAATTTGGGTTAGATTAGACAAAAAAGTGAGGAGAACAAAAGTTGCTTAGAATTTCATCAAAATTATTATGGTGCAATTTTTTCTCCAAAATTCTCAACAAAAATTTTACCCCAAAAATGGGTCATTTTGACTTTTTTTCAATTAATCAAAATTTACGCTGAAACTCGTTTGTTAATTGATGAGAAATAAATATCACAAGAAGCTTCTTACACAGCCCAACAAAGTCCTACAACGGTTAAATCTTCAACAATTTGACTAAATTGTTTAAAATTTGTTTTTAAGCAAAGATTTTGGATTTTATATAGTAATAATCAACTTTCTTGACTATCCAGCAAAAATTTTTGCTCTGATTACGGGTTTAACTTCTCTAAAATTTTAATGGGCTGTGTAAGAGGCTTCTTGTGATATACATTTCCCATCAATTAACAAAGTAGTTTCAGCGTAATTCTTGATTAATTGAAAAAAAAATCAGAATGACCCATTTTTGGGGTAAACATTTACTTGAGAATTTCGGAGAAAAAATTGCAGTAAAATAATTCTGATGAAACTCTGAGCAACTTTTGTTCTCTTCACTTTTTGTCTAATCTTAGCCAAATTTGAGAAAATCGTGTTTCAAGTTCAAGTTTTGTTTATTTTGTCCTGATAATTTTAACCAGCACTGTATAGTGCAGAGGATTATCAACAATCCACCGAAAGAAACACGGTCATTCGAAGCCCTCTTGATAGTATTTTTTTCGTTTAACTTCAAATCGCAAATAAATGAATTTAAATTTTTTTCCAGATAATTTTTCGAACCGGTGATTTAGTGATAACTTTTTCTGTCCATGAAAATTGGCATAAATCTCCAAAAAGTTTATAAAATTTAAAGGCCTCAAATGTTCGTTAACATCTCGCAAATGTAATAACTTAAATTAAAACATGTCTATTTTTCAAATTAAAAGTTATCCGAACAATTTTCGCCTTAATTATTGAAACGCGTAATTTGCCTTTTTTTTAGTAAATGAACTTGCAATGAAATTGAAAAGAAATCAAAATTCAACACGCTTTCAGTTGAATTCTGTTGGAGTGAAAAACTATTTCATAGAAAATTGAATTAAAAGATGCTCTAAAATTACACATACCAATTTAGATAGATCAAAAACAGTACTCGCTTTCCGCTTGAAGCTTCGACCTCAACTTTTTTGAATTAAACAGACACGGCTATTCAGTTTATAAGATGACAATTGTTTTTAATGTCCATATATAAATCTGGAAATTTATCGATGACTCAAAGTATGGCATTTATGTGAGATTTAAATAGTAATGTGAAATACGCAAAATAAAAATGGCAATTTTAAATTTAAACAATCGCTCTGCTCTGTGAATCAAGTCAACAATTCAGCAATGACACCAAATCATAGCTTAGACGTGACATTTAATAACTCTAAAGTCGTCTTTCTTCGGTATTTAGCGCCAGCTACAAAAGATATTCGTTAAAAATTTCAGTTTTGTTCGCTTTTTTCAGCAGTATCGCTCCTGTGGCAGACTGTTCGGCAGGAATATTTTGCCCCCCTGGCCCGGCTGGTAGGGGGCGGTTGTAACATACATATTCTGGGGCATATTTGCCTGCTGGTGTGGAAAAGAGGAATTCGGCATGACCATCCCCCCATTTGCGGGAGGGGCGGGGGAGGCTGGGTAGCTGGAAGCGTCATGTGGCGACATCATTCCGCCGTCATTCGGATGCTGCTGTTGTTGTTGCAGTTGCTGCGGCTGCCCGAATGCACCTCCCCCAGTGTAGCTGGGTCTTTTGAGGAGGGGGGAGTAACCTCTCTGAGCTTGTTGTTGTTGCTGCTGTTGTTGCTGCATTTGTTGATGTTGAAATGAATTGTGCAACGGATGAGCACTAAACTGTGGAAGCACTGAAAAAGAGAAACTTTTAAATAGGAACAATTGCTAAATAAGAAACGCACCGTTTCAAAATAACTCTACATGAAACAAAGATTATTAGCTTAAGATTTTTTTGAAAAATTAATCCCCAAAAAAGCGGGAAAAAATATTGCAATAGATGGATTTTTTTGGAAACAAAAGATGGATTTTTTTTGGTTGATATCTCAATCCGTCGCCCAAATCCGGAAATAACTGTATTAAATTCTCATTTTATCATTTTAGCATGGTCACACCCAGGGGCGGATCTAGGATTTTCTCGAGGGGGTGGATTTTCAAAAAAAAATTTGAAAAATTTGTCGACCTTTTTTTCTAGGTCGACCAAATTGATTTTTCGAGCTCAGCCAAAGCACTAAAAAGACCGGTCGGCAGAGTGTCGAATATCCATATAAGTCTTTTAGTGTTTTAGGAGCGATTTGAAGATCAATTTGGCCGATTATCAATTTGGCAGAAAAAAAGGTCAAGTCCCCAGACACTATCCAGCGTATCTAACCATCTGAATAGTATTATATATTATATATATAGGAGAGACTATAGTGGCAGTTTCGGTTGCATGGACTTACATCTGGACATGGCAGCATTGTATTCTGCATTGTGGTCGTTGTGATTGACATTGAACACGAACTTTGACCCGTCCACAGCCCCGGGGGGTGCGGCCATCAACACACTCTTCAGGGGCTGCTGCTCCCCCAGTCCCCCTCCTGCACTCCTCAGATTCTCCCCCATCATCTCACTCTTGAATCAAAACGAAGAATTAGAATTGTTTTTCAGACGCAATTGCCACAAGTTCCAAGTTCCATTCGAAAATAGATATATTAATAGCAGTTCTGTTAATTCTATTTACAAAATGTCATCAGAGCTCGCGAAAGAATGAAACCTAAATGTATCAAAACATACACCGTCAGAAATTTTAAAAATTCAGACACTGTGAAAAAAGCTATTCTAGAAGCTCTAAACTATTTTCGCAAGGCTTAGCATCAAACTTTTTCTAGTTTTTCACCAGTTCGGACAAAGTAGTCAAAAAAGTTTCAGAGACAATTTCCAGCAAAAAACTCTCATGTAACATTGAATGAGTTTTCAAACTTTCTGATCATTATGTAAAACATCAAAATTTTCAAAAAATGGAGAGCAGTACTAGAAAGCGGGAAAATGGTACCTTTTCTGTCTCCTCGGTGGAGCTGCTCCTGGAAGCACCTTTGCGACGGAGGATGAGGGAATCGCAGAAGAAGAAGAAGAACTCGAACAGGGTCATGGCCGATGCCCCGATGAACAGACCCATCAGACCTCCTATATCGCCTACAGTCGCGAACAGAAAATATGCCAAAACTAATCGGATTTCTGTAAATTTGCGCCTTTTGCGTTTTTTGAATTTCAATTTTGCAAAGTAGGAAAACTTACTTCTCCAAAATCAAATCAAATTTTACACTATAAGCATCAACAATTACATCAATTTGACAGTGAATGGGCGCAGACGAGAAACAATACACTGGACAAAAGTATTCGATTGTGCCCCTAAAAGCAGAAAATTTCCTACAACACAAATTGCAAAAAAAATATAAAATAATTGAAATTTAATTTTTTTGAAACAAAATTTGCGAACTCTGGTGGTCGATGAAAACGTAAGCTTATTGACGCGCACGATCACAATATATTTCGAATTCATTAAAATGGAATCAGTTGCAATGCTGTGGACAGAAGCCAAGAACAATTTAAGACCGGTATCAGATTTGCTCGATCATTTTAAACGTATCAAGACGGTTTATCCACAAGTGAAAGGACCAACATAAGAGCTGTCCATCTCTTCTCGGAGAACTGCTGTTGTGCCCCTCGTTAAGAACTACATGCAATTTAAAAAACATTTAGAATTATTTTTTAGGGCTGGGCAATGCTGCCTCACCCTCAAGCAACGAGCACGGAGCATGGTGGGCTCGAACATCCGACCTTTCGATTGAGAGGCGGAGACGTAACTATCTCCGCTCCACAAAAGTCCCTATTGAAAACTCAACAAAGGGTGTAGCGATGGATGTAAATTACTAAGATGATTGTACGGTTCTTACCGAGCATTGCAGCGAAGTCATAAGCTCCCACTTGGATGATGGTCTGCAAACTGAGAGACTGAAAGTAGATAGACACCACGAGGGCTTGTTCTAAACACATCACGCATGCAGTCACCCTCACTTTCACACAAGCAGCAGTCAGTTAGAGAGTATTTTGGTTCTATCAGATTTATAACTAAAGCCAAATTTCTTCGAATATCGATAGATTTAGACTCGTTAATTGACCAGACTACAGAAGCTGCTTTTCGACAAGAAGCGAATCAGCTGACATACAACTAGCTTAATACACTTGGGGTTAAGCATTCTTCTGGCAGTGAGAAATCCGCCTTTTAATGGGAAGCTTGCTACTTTATTCCCATAAAGATCCGTGTTTTATTGTTCCGACTTTCGATACGAAAGTGACGGAATATTTGTGCTCGGGGTGGGTTTTTTTTTCTTCAGACAAATTTCGACTTTTTAACTAGCCATTTTTGACGGAATTTTTTTATATCATTCGAAAGGTATTGTTGTCTTGAGCTCAAATTTGAAAAGATATTTTACCTGTGACCATTTTTTGTAAAGTTACGGGGGTTGAAAGATTGCCATTTTGGCCAATTTGGGACAATTAACTCGCGATATATTTCGCGCTATTAACGCGTAAGCGGAGAGTTAATCCCTCTTAGAAATTGTTCCAAATTGGCTGAAAGAAGCTTATTTGCCATAATTGATTTGTTACAAGGAGCGAATTCTATCCTTTTGTACTTTATATGGCGTGTGGGGGGCTGATTTTCATTAAAAAATTTCAAATTTTAGAAATTTTTTTTTTCATTTTGTTTTATTTCATTTAATTTTTTAAATGTTATTACTGCTCGATATACCTTAAAAGGCAGTCGGAACATTCAGGGCTTTGCCCTGATACGAGCAGTTTTGTTCCTTTTCGTTGCATGCGGCATGAAGTTAAATTTTTTTAGCCCAAGAATTACCAAAAAATGCATCTAAATACCTTGAAATCAAGATTTTCGGGAAAGTAGAATTCACCAAAAACTAAAAACTTCAACAATACGATCTTATTATATATTTTAGCTACGATCTTCACTTTTCTGATCGTAACTAAAAGCTATATTGAAAGAAAAATTAATATATTGAAATTTGCTGTGCATAAACTACAATATTGCAACCACGGTCATTTTGCAAGCAAGCAGTTTGATTAAAAAAAATGTAAGCATTCAAAAAGGATTGATTGTTTATGCCTATGAATCTATTTTCTTTGCTTCAAACTTTTACGAATTATTTGCTGAAAAAAAAAAAATTCAAACTATGTCATTGATGAATACTGGAAAAATCGTAAAGCTTATAATCAAATAACCCCACTATCGTGTAATGTATAATTGTACATTCTGCCTTTCGTATAAAAACTTCAAAAAACTTTAAAAATCGTGTAGCTTGAGATCAAAAAGCCATTTGGTTTACAGCAATTGGTCACGACTTTTCAGATTATATTGCGGCTGGGCTAGGTTGTATTCTTTACCAAAAAATTTCAAACTGCTGTCTTAAATCAAAATCTCATTAGAATTAACACTTTCAATCATAATCACTTTCATATCAATCAACACTTTTATAACAATCGACAAAAAATTTCAGATTGCTGTGACAAAAAAAAACCTTGTAACAATCAACACTGCCGATTTCGATGAAAAACTCCTGCTCGCAAAAATTTGCCAGTTCTGGGTTTTGTATAACATATAACTTGATGTAGAAATCTTATCTCTTGTATAATTTTATTTCTTATCAGGGGTTATCAGGGGTTTTCGTTTAAATTGTCGTACATCGTATAATAGTACGGAAAACAATTCAAACTAATTTTTTTAAATTTCTTACTGACTGCAACAAGAATCGTGATTTAATGGGCAAAAAATTTGATTGGTCAGAAATCGTAGAAAAAATAGAGCCATATATGCCTTCAAGCTAATTTTTAAGCTTTTAAAACGTTATGAAATCAACAAGCTTATTTCACAAAACCTACCGCAAAAAATCATAAAGTCCGAAAAGGAACGATTCAAACAATTTCTTCAGTGTTTTGAAAAAATTGATATCACATTTAACAATAATTTTTGGATTCATCAGCTGCTAAACTTTGATGTTCAGAGTTCATCAAATTATTTGGCTTCTTCGAATTAAAGAGCATGGCACCACAAAAATTAAATTGAAAAAAAGTATCATGAAATAGAAGTTACAAATTCATTATTTTCTTCCAATTAAACCTGCAGTCAGAACAACTGTACTGTATTTAAAGTTGTTAGAAAAAATTTTCCAGAACAACTGGAAAAATTTTCAAAAATTATTATGGATTACACAAATCTATTTGAAAAACAATTAAAAAAAAACTTTTAAAAAAACAGAAAAAGAATCAACCCATAAACACGCATTAAAAATGATGTGATCAAGACCTATTTTGGAAAATACTTGTGATAATTGCCGGGCAGCTTTACATGAAAACAATCACAGATATTCCATTTTTTTGCTAATTTCTCACGCATGCAAATATGGACGAGAAAAAAAATGTTTGCCTGACAGAAGAAAAGACAAAAAACATTTTTTTTTAAATGCTTTCAAATTTGGGGAGCTCAGAATAAGCGATAAAAACATCAATTGATAAAAACAGTTCTCAAGAAACAGTTTAGTTTGGAAAATCTAATGTACTTAGCCGGTAAAATTAGAAGCTAAACAATTAAGCAGACAAAAAAACTTAAATGTCGGTTATGAACACAAATTTTGATTTTTTTAAGACTATTCACATCCCTGCATAAAAGCTGAGCTGTAGATTCAGTGACCTGGTTCCTTCTCAGCGACAAAATTTTTTTTCAGTTCTGCGTATTTCAACTTTGATCAACTTAGTCATCAAAAGTTTTGATCAAGAGTTTTGGTTTAATTTTGACCTAAATTTATCCCTTATCCATGCTAATCTATGCTATCTAGCAGTTGCGCAAGAAAATTATTAGAGATACTCTACGTTTTTTACTTTCAACGCATGCAAAAACGAATGATAAAAAGCATTTCATCCAAAAAACAAAAAATATATATTTTTATTAAGAACTTTGAAGACTCAGAATCAGCGATAGAAAGGTTAAAAAAACTAGAAACATCTCTCAACAGACAAAGTAGTTTGAATGAATTTCTTATGGCATTCAGCCGGCAGATTTTTAACCCTAACACTTAACCACAAAAAATTTTAAATGTGAAAGCTTCGAACATTTTAATCTGACCGCATCCTTAGAAATAGTCTTTCAATTCGCTTAGATATTCGAGATCAGTTCGTAACAAAAACAAAATTCGTCCGTATCAAGGCGAAGCCTTGGATGTTCCGACTGCCCTTAAATTTCTATGGAGTAGCATTTGCTTTAGAAAATTTAATGAAACGTTCAAAAAAAATCAAAATTTAGTTTTTTTTTCAGTTTTTTTCCGCAAAAATCGTCCCCCAGACGCTATGTAAAGTGCAAAGTAATACATTTGAAATAGAGCAAACTACTAAATAGATCAAAAAGCATGCTTCAATTCAATTTGGAACGATTTCTTAGTCGGATTACTAGCGTTAATAGCACCAAATATATCGCGCCTTACAAATTCTGTCTAAAATTGCCAGTTAAAAAGTCGAAAATTGTCTCGAAAAAAAAAACAACCCCGAGCACAAACGTTCCGTCACTTTCTTCGAAGGTCGGAACAAAAATTTAACTGAATGTTAAAGGCTTCTACCATAATACAACTCCACCAGCTGTGAACGTATTTATTAATCTGATAAAACGACAAGCAGCTTTCGTCTGGCAAATTGAAGAGTCTCACCAAGAGTACGAATAACAGCTTTGACGAAGACAAGCTGACCATTTTTATCAGCTTTTTAAAAAATATATATGAATTCAAATTATTCGATATTTTAGGAAATTGGCATTAGTTATGTAGTCTATCTATCACAGTTCTAGAATGCTATGGATCTTAGTCGAAATAAATAAGAGCTCTAAAGATTAGGAAGCACCTATTTAGCTTGAAAGTTAATAAGTTAATAAAGTTAGGCTGAATTAATTATCTAGAGATTATTAAAGTGCAGTGTGGAAACAAGCAAATTAAATCCAACTAATCGAAGACGTTTTTTTTTAGTTGATAAAAACATGTTTGCTTTGAACGAACTTTATATTGCATTATCATCATGGACATTTATAATTTTGGTGTTGTTGTGCTTGTAAGGTAGCAGATCAGGGGCCGGTCTAAAATTTTCTTGTGGGGAGGGGGAAATTTTTTTGAAGAAATAACTCGCTGGTCTTTTTAGGTTCGCTAAATTCAAATATTTCCGATCTTTTTTGAAGCATGAAAATACCCTTTTCAGTCAAAACTATCTTCGGCGAAAGATCCAGTTTTGAGTTGCAAATCTAATGTTGTTTTTGGATTTTTTAAAAGGTTGATAAAATTGTAGCTTGCACCTGACACGTATACTTTTGAAAAAAAAAACTTTGGCCAGCCAAAAATAAAGAAGTAATATAATACCAAGGAGAGGCGCTTTAGTTGTGGAAGGGTTCGATTTCCTAAATCCACCCCTGTAAATAGCTAGTATTGCTCTAGAGAAACGAACGATTCATACACTTAATTGGATTTTCAAAAACTTTAGACAGTTGAATGGTCTTCAGAGATGAATGGAGAAATATAGTACCCTTCCGCCGCCAAAGGGATCAAAGTTCGCCTTTTTGAGACAATTTTGACAAAAATGGATTATTTGAATGTCAATGATTATTTAAATCTAGAGGTTAGAGCATCAGTATGACACGCCCATGTAATACAATTAGTGCGCCCATTTAATGGTACAGTACAGTATAGTATACACTAGTCACTATGTATAATATAGTCTTTTCCCAGCCGAGATTGTGAGCTACTTACTTGATATTTTGTTCTCTACCTCTTGAACAGAACACAAAAAGGGTTAAAAATAACAAACCATTCCTCTTAACCTCACTTGACCTTTCTCAGAGCTGCCTTTTGCTTTGCAAGAGGTACTGCAATTTCTGGTCACCAAAATCTTAAGCTCTCGATTATTTTTTTTGTAATCACAGTTTTTTGGAAATTTTGCAGCAATGCGACTTAATGAGTTGACTACAGATTGCAAAAGAAGGCCCCTAAAACAAAACTTATCACTTGATTGCAGTTAATAAGAGTAGAATGCAGAATTAAACAGAGTTTAGTCGTAACGTCGTAACACGACTTCTCGCAACAAAAGACAACTTGCAAAACAGACAACTCGTATAAAAAAATAATTTAGACAACTCATTTAAAACCCCATTAATAAAACCCGTAATACCCCCACTTAATACTTACTGAATGGCGGTCAATTTTATACTTAGTTCAAAACAATTATTGCAGATAAATATGAGAATTTTTGGTTCCTTTGATATTAACAATTGAGCCTACAATTGAGACGCTAAAAATATTCTTTCGGAGTTTATACGAGCGTGGGGTGTTTTTTTTCAGTCATTTCGTCAATTTTTTTCACCAAAAAAAAAACTTTTTAACTGGCCTTAAAGTGCTGTCGAAACATTCAGGGCCACCCGCTTATATACGAGCAGTCTTGTTTTCTTTTACAACGCAGCTCTCATCAGCAATACCATGGAGCGTTTCCAACTGATCCAACTACTAAAACCTTCAGAAATTTAAACTGATTTAAAGAAGCAACAATTTCAGCTTTGAAAACAGAATTCCCCCAAATCTCTGTGGAATGGTGCTTCTTTTTTTGCGTAAGCCAAAAACTAAAAAAATTGAATTACTTTATAGCACTGGCTTTCAGTCCTGAGTGCGACTTGAACCTTGCACTAGAAGCTCTATACGCCACAACACTCTGAGAATGAGCAAAAATAGCACAACTTTTTCAAAAAAAAAAAACGGGTAGCAAAATATCTACGTGGATTTCTACAAAAAAAATCAAGATTTTAAACCAGCTATAGGAAATCACTTTACAGAAGAGATAAATGAAAACGAAAAAAAGTAATTCGGTCAAAGGATGGCATGGAGTTTTTCGATTAGGAATGGGTTATGCTCAGCCACGGTATTAAAACTCATTCACCAAGTAAGGAAAGTGCAAAATCCAACAAAGTCAAAATCAATTATCTAATTCTGCAGCTGGAAGCTCTTTCATTTAACTTTGATCTGTAAAATTCCTTTATACCAAAAACAATTTGACTTGACGCCTCAAAGGCTTTGGTATGTTACCGTTAGTTTGTTTCACATTTAGATTAAAAATATATAACTTTCCTTTGAGTTTTATACGAGCTGTTTCTTTTAATTAGCTGTCTTTCTCTTAACCTGAGAATTGTCTTCTTTTGCGAGTTGTCTATTCTGCAAATTGTCTCGACACAGGGAGTAGTATCTTCTACATTAGTCCATCTGGCGTATTCTGGACCGACAATACACGAGTAACTTCAAAGTTCTGTTGGATCCCCTTACTGGCTGAGAGTTATTGCAAGGAGGCCTACTTTTGCAATCCAGCAGTACGTATTGCCCTTTTTCGTGCGGACAAACAATCTTCAAAAAATAGTAAATTTCTACCTTTCCAGTACGCTTGAGTAGCCTTCGCACTGACAGCTTCTCCCGCGCCGCCTTCTGAGTTCTCTCCTCCACTCTCTCCGTCTTTAGGTCCCGATGAATCACTATTTCCATCTGTTTTCTTCGTGAACACTCCTGGGTACTCTTCGCTCAATTTAATGGCACCCAGGTAGGATGGGAATTTCACTGACGACATGCTGCTCTTGTAGCGTGAAATTTCGCACGGTTTAATGCACGTTTCAGGTCCACACGCTTCACCGTCTTCAATTTTGTTCAGTCGGCCAATTGCACAGTCTTTGTATTTTGCAGGCGAGCACACAATTTGACTCTTGGGTTTGGTGCTTAGAACTGAAAAAAGAAAAAAGATTGTTTTCAAAAGTTTAAAAATATAGCTTTTTAATGAAAAACTTTTTTTGCATGCCGATATATTAATTTTACTAAATTATTTTTGACTGAGCAGGAAGGGTCTTTTGCTTTCAATTATTCCAAAAGAACTAATATATTTTGTGCACATTTTTGGATTTTAAGAATTGTTTTGAAACCCAGACCATTTAGTGTGAAATGTTGGGTTAACTTCAAGCACAAAGCACACCCTATGAATTCTAGTAAGATCACGAGCAATTTTCAGCTATCAGTCCGTTCTGTCCCGATAATTTGAATTAGCACTGCATGGTAATGAGCAAGCGCTTTACCATCTTTACCAGGAATCAGCATCGAACTTTTAGCGCAAACAGTGATTGGGTCTTTTTGGTTGTACCGAAAAATGAATATTACAAAATCGGATCGATATTACTACGGAACACAAGGCTGATATCCAGAGCCTTGAATCCCGGAAAACATACAAGGGAGAAGTAAACGTCTATTCAGAAGAACGCATTTGGACTCATGTTTGTGAAACTTAAATGAAAAAAAAAACGGTGAAAAGTAGAGAAAATTTAACCACAGTAATTTAACGTTTTGCATTGAGACAAAACACTTTTAGAATTAGATATTTTGTATGTTTTCAAATTTTCATATCATTTGAACTATTTGATTGGAAATTTTACAAAGATGAAAATAGACAGTGGGAAACGGTAAAAAAGAGCCTTATATTCAAGTACACTAACTGATGGTAGTCGTGTGTCTATTATTTGATGTTGCAATTTTGAAAACAAAGTGAAGAGCAAATAACCTATTTTTCCAAACAAAAGCTAATTTTTTTAGGACAGAAAGTCTCAAGGTCACCTAACAATTCAAACTTGCATGCAGATGGCTCTTTTTTTGCAGATTGCTGTCTTAATTGATTCTGTCTTTTCAACTTTTTTTACTACCTGGCATGAACGGGAGTCTGCAGTCGCACTCGTCCACGATGTGTTCTGTCTCACATTCTATCCTGCAGGCGGGGTCACTGTACTTGGTGAAGTTGATAGTCTTCTCGAATGTCTTCACACACTCACCCCAAGGTTTAGTCAAGTATGTCACCTGCGGGCACACAAAAAACTATCATGAAAATGCTTGTTAAAAATCAACAAAATATTAAAATAGCCATTTTGAACGATATTTCTTAAGAAACCAGCGACACTTTTAAGTATAAAACCCAATGATGAGCTAAAATGATCACCTTTTGCTAGCACAGAAGTGTGTTATGTAAAAGATCAAGACTAGCTGCCAACAATATAAGAAAACAACTTTCAAGAATATTGCATAAGAAATCACATTTCCAAAACACGACCCCCAAAACATACCAATCGGACCGCGGAAAACAATTCCAAAAAACACAAAAAAATCATTATACTTCAAATTTGAATCGAGTAATAAGTTTTAAACTGAATATTCAGTAATGCTCATAACAAATAATCATTCATAAATTAAAGATGACTGTTAGCTCCTTAGAATTTAATTATCCACCCCGATATAAGTCATTCTCTGAGTAGACTAATTATCTTCTCTTTCTCATCGTACACAACCCTGAGACGTCAGAACAAAAAATATCATCAAACGATTTCATATCTTTTGCAGAATTTTACTTTGAATAAATTTGGGTGCGATTGTAATTTATAGGAAAAGAATAGAGTTAAAATAATAAATATATCATCAAGATCAAATGATGAGAAGTTATTACGACAACAGGTAGAGGAGAGAGCGCACCTGTTCTTTTTGGAGCACCACAAATGTCTGCAGTCCGGGTGCGATTCCCACTCCCAGCTGGTGGACCAGTGGGGGCACATCCGGGTCATGGATCTCCAATTTGAACCCAGTCTCCAGAGAAGTCTCTAAAAAGAATTTAAAAAAGCAATTTGATATTGCGGTTCACTCAGAATTATTTATATTTTTAGACACACAGGCGAAGCAGAGCCAAAAAACATAGCAAGTCAAACCAGCCGACAAAAAATGAGACCATTCGGCAAATGAGTTTGAGTTGGAATGAAATAGAAATCAAGTCAAACTCAAAAAAATGACAAATTTAAGCCAAAAAAAATTCAGGAACTTTTCCTGAAAAACCACACGACTAAATAAGCGTTTTCAATTCGTAACTTAAATCATTGACACTTAAAAAATATAGCCAACTGATAATTGAACAAATGTCAAAAAACTCAGGAAACCGAAATAAAAAAATCGCTCTTTTCCATCCATTTTGCAACTTCGAAGTTCTAAAAATCGATTAATATTACGTTATTCTACGAATTCATCACGTTAATATTCTGCGAATTTAAGAATCTTTAATGGATGAGATTTTTTCATAAAACTAACCCAATAAAAAAACTGTTTCAATAGCCATTTTTATATTCTGCTGGCAGTTTTGATGTCTATTTTAGGAACTTTTTCAATTCTGCTACAGGAGAGCGTAACTTACCTTCGATTCAGAAAATGAGTTTGAATTAATCTCAAAAAATTCCAATCAAACGGCGAAAAATTAATGCAAAGCGTGATCAAAGTTCAAGACTTTTCTTAGAAAAAGTCAGTAAACTAAACTATTTTTGTCACTTCTTTGATCAGCACTTAAAAACATAACCAAAAGAAATTTGAATGTATTTCGCTTTTGAAAAGTTTCCAACATTGAATTTCGAAGAAGAAATTACATCAATTTGAGGCTCTCACATTTTGAAAGTCATTTTGGTTGAAATATCTGCTCCAGAGGCAATATCTTAAAATCAATGACTTTGAAAATCAATACGAGTTGAAAATGAATTGACAAATCCAAAAAAAATTAAAAATTTTCAGAAAAATTTTCTGAAAAAGGTAAAAATATATACAAAAAATTCAAAAGTCAATTTCCTGCACCATTGAAAACAATAGTAATTTCATAGAAAAAAATGTAAGAAAAAACAAGGACTTCAAAAAAATCTGACTGTCTGCAGAAAACAAGCAGACACAGAGCAAACAGAGAGACGGTAATCTGAAAAAGCAAACATTTCAGTCAGCAAAAATGCCCCGGCGGAAATCAAACTCAAGACCTTTGTCGGCTCAACTATTGGTGTTAACCCAAGGCTAAATATGTCGAAACAGTTCTTTTGATTTTTCACGCAAACTCAGGTACCACAAAAAATCTGAAAAACCGGTTTGAAACCGGTGTCGAGAAAAACCGGTTTGAAATTTTTAGTTTTTCGTCTAACTTTGACCGAATAAAGTAAATATAATTAGTTAAATTCGTAATTTAGGCTTGAAAAACTTAATTTTTCTAAATGCAAACTAATTTTGAAAAGTTTATTTGGCACTTCACTAGCAATAAAAGTTTGTAAAATATTGTGCAAAATAGAAAAAATTTGATGATCTTAATAATGAAAACTTAATAATCTGAAGAACTTTTTATAGTTTAAGGAATATGGTGGGAACTTGCACAGCAACCGGCTATCCTTATTCAAATTTTGCATAAATTTGAACCGTAGTTTGAAATTTATGCGGTATGTTTCTCCAGAAGTAGTCATAAGAACATCATTTTGCAATTATTGCATTGACTAATAACATAAAGGTTCAAAGTCGATCGGAATTTCCCTTGCGAATTGTCTCTCACCGAAGCTTTCGATCTGAGGAGGGAGATACTCGTCCTCTTCCGTGACCAGTAGCATCTTGAGTCCATTGCCAGCCCCTCCCTTGAACACCTTCTTGAACTGGTACGACTTAGTCTCTTCGTCCCAGGTCGCGTTGGAGTTGTACTGGTAGCACAGACCCATCTCTGTCAAAACCTAAAACACATAATATTACCATAGAGTACAAGACTTAACAACCTTAACAAACCATAATTGTAACACCAAAAAAACTGGTTTGGTGGCCGGCATGTAAAGCCCGCGTTTTATTAAGCCCATATCTTTTCAGCATACTGCATTTAATTTAACGTCACGGTATTTAACCCCAATTCAATTAGAATTCTTTCATTAATTTATTTCATTCTAAATTACATTATTGTAGGTTTCAATTATGATAAGTAAATTGAGGCCAGAATAGCGAACCTTTTTTATTCCGACTTTTCGAAGAAAGTGAGGAATATATATGCACGGTGTGCTTTTTCTTTGCAGATCAATTTTCAAAAAAAATGTTCTCTCGGTGGATCGATCCTTGGGTCTTCGTGAGCCCCACCGAAATCACACACTACTATATTAACCTGACATGAAACTAGCTAAAGTGCTCGCTTTACACTTTGATGCTTAATTGTAACGCGCATTATTTAAACTTGGCGAATTATCCCGCACTACAAATCGTTCCAAATTGAGAGTGCGGCCTGTAAGTAGTCGTATTCAAAACTCGTCAGTTAGTAGACAAATGCTAAATTAACAATCAGAATGAAGACAAAAAAGTAAATACAGTAAAAATTATTTATTTCGTACGTTTGCTTCTTTGTCTCGATGCTGATTGGTTAAAATAGTCAATTTCCTCGTACTGACGAATATGATTCAGCGATTGTTTTTTTTCTGCTACGTAACGTTCTAAATTTTGTTGAGACAAGCTAATTGGTCTTATTGATTCCATCAATTTTTCATAATTGAACACTTAAAAATGGACAGTATTAGCCTACAACTCGTAATTACAAAAATTCGCTTTTTGAGTTAGAGAACAGTTAATGTGCAGTCGGAACATTCAGGGCTTTGCCATGATATGAGCAGTCTCTTTTAATACTGTTGATACAATTGTGATCGCAATATTCATTCTGCATTACTTTATTCAAAATGAAAAATTGAGAAATTTCTGATCAAATTGAGCTCGTTCTCTTATTTCATGTTGGAAACCTCATCCTACTTAACATCACAACACAGTGAAGTTAGTAAAAAACATAACAAGACTTCTCGTGTCAGGGCAAAGCCTTGAATTTTCCGACTGCCTTTTAGGGTCTATAGAGTAGTGTTTGCATTAGAAAAATTGATGAAAATTTCAAAAAACGAAAAAACTCAAACAAAATTCTTTTAATTTTTTAAATATCTTCCCAGACGCTATGTTTAGTACAAAAAGATATACTTCGCAAGCACTAGCGAGAACTCAACAAAAACGCAGCTTTATAAAGTGAAATAAAATAATGAACATAATGGAATTAGTAAAATTGTGCAACGTATCGGAATAAGAATAATAATAATAATAATAACAAAGGATTTAGGAATATTATCCAAGGGTTCGCATAAAGTACGTTTAACAATCGGAAAAATCTAGCCACAAATAAAGCAGACAACAATTTTTCAACGCTACAGCTCGTGATTATAGTAAAAACGATTATACATAAACGAGCCATTTAGAAGCGAGTTAGGTCGGAAAAAAGTAGAGTCATACTAATGCACTACGCTCGCTAGCTCGCAGCACTAAAAATACCAAACTGCATGCCTGATTTCAATTTCGAACGATTTTCAAGACGGATTAAATTTCCGCTAACGCGTTAATAGCACGAAATATATCGCGCGTTAATTGTCCCAAATCAGCTATCTTTAAATCCCCATAACATTACAAAAAACAATTACAGATGGAATATTTTTTAAATTTGATTTCAGGACAACAGCGCCTTTCGAATGATATCAAAAGATTGAAAAATTTCTAATTAAAAATTCAAAATTTGTCTGGAAACCACCCCGTGCACAAATATTCCTGCAAGTCGGAACAATTCTACAAAACTTCCACGGGACATAATCAGGAAAAAAAATAAGAATCGTTTTTGAGTGAAAGCGTCAGACCAACAGTAGCAGTCGCCATTGCAATTTAAACACTTACAGATGATACATTAAGGCGGCAAGTATTAAATGGTTTTAACCAAGATAATAACCACTAAGTTTCAATAGTACCAATATTGTAGTGATTTCAGGAAGTTAAATTATGAGCAGGTATATAAACTGAAAAACTAGATCGACAAATATATATTCTTTACCCGCACCGAAGGCTTGTGGATCTAATCGATTATATTTGTCATTTTAATGACAGTATTTAAAGAATTGCAAAATAATCTATTATAATTCATTAAAAGTGGATTATAATCTTAATATTTTTGATGTCCATATAATCCATTACAGTCAATTATAAATGATTATAATGGCCTTTTTGAGAGTTTATTGATGAAATTTACAATTTTATTTAAAATGTATCTAATTTTTTATTTAGTGCAGTTGCTACATATTACGTTTCATAATTTCTTACGCTTCACATTTTACAAAGACTTTACATACTTAAATTGGTTCCACCTTTTCAACTCTCAATTCATGACAGTTTGATATTTTACTTAGTTTTTTTTAAAACCAAAATTGTCATTCTCTCAACCCCTTACCCACTTTCAAGTAATGGGGAAGGTTAATGGTTGACGTGGCGGAGTGTAATGGTTTGAAGCGAGAGGCGGGTTACAGGTCAAACTCCACACATCTTTTACCACGCCTCCCCCCTCAACCAGTGGTTGGATGAGTTACGTTTTTTGCTTTTGATAACAGTTGAAAGACATAGTAAAGAATTTCTTGCACAATTCGAATATTCAAATTTAGTTCTAAAAAGAAAATGAATCACGATCAATTGTATTAGATTATGATGAACTTTTATTTCAAAAATAATGGATTATAATGAATATTTTTGACGAAGATAACCAATTTAATCGCCAAAAACAATGGATTACAGAGAGGTGAAATTGCGTTTCGGACTTTTTGCGATACAAAAACCAAAAAGTATAAGATAACGTCTCAAACAAAAAAAATGAAAACCTTGAATTATTTCTGTTGAAAAATCGTCAACGAAAAATCCCAAAAAATTTTTTTTGGAAATACCATAGGAATCAATAACCTAAAATACAAAAACGATTTGACTACAATAAAAAAAATTTGGTTATAAAACAAGATCTAGAAATTCCTAAATTAACTCAAAAAATGTTGCTTAAAATCTTGCAACCAGAAAACTTGAAAATCTTACGGTGAGAATTGGGGATAAGAAAGGCCCAATCCATTATTAACTATAATTTAAGATCAAAATAAAAGAAAAAATGAAAAATGCAACTTCAAAAAATGCAAAAGTTTGAAGCATTTGTCGTGATAAAAACTTCAGAAAAGCTGAAACAAAATCTCAACATTTCATCCAGAAAAAATCAAACAGTCACAACAAAATTGCAAAACGGCAAACTTTAGAAAATAATACAAACATGAAAATACTACGCAATGCCATCGACTTCAATCGATTTCAAGTGAAACTGTTATAACTAAAAACACACTAAATCAATTGAAACTATAACTAGTTCCACGTTCCGCGCTCTTGTAGAATAAAAGATAAGACAAAAAACTTGCTTTCAAAAAAATTTAAAAATTAGTGCAAATAAATTCTTTTCCAACATCAAGTTTTGGCGTCTATGAAAATATGGAAACCATGAACTACATTGAAACAATTGACCAGGAAGAAAAAAGTAATTATAAAATCTTCCGAAAAAGTTACTGAATTAAACACCCGGCAAGTCAGCCGAAAAAATTGTGACAAAATCATTAAAGCCGACGAAAAAAAATTATCGCAAGGGTAATACTTGATTATAATGGATAATAAATGATTTTTTCGAAATCATCAATTATGTCAATATAATCGATTTTGTGGTCTGAATTTTACATTTGTAATGGATTTTACTGGGTTATTTTTGTCTCAAAAGCAATTATAATCGATATAATCCATGGGCGTTCGGTGCAGGTAGCCAATTAATTGGCTGATAGCCAGATGTTTTTCAAGTTCATATTGAATTCGGGAACATCCTAGCAATTTAGAGGCATTATTTTGAATCATGGTCCGAGTGCATTTCCAATTCACAAATCTAAGTTTGATCTCAGATCTAAGTTTGATCTCAAATCTAAGTTTGATAAAGTCAGTTCTGGTTAAATTCTTTGAGCAATTCGCAGCGCATATGTTTTCTCGCTTATTTTTTTAAAAAGTTTTTTAAATCTAATTAATTAAATTTAAACCTATTAATTAAATGTAAAAGTTTAATTTAAATTTAATATAAATTTAATATTTCAGCTGTTCAATTTAAATTTATTTTTAATAAAATTTCGTAATTTAATAATTAAATTTAATATTGATCTAACTTAATTAATTAATTTAATTTATTCAAATTAAATTAATTTATTAAAATTTATATTTTTTTATTTTCGTTTTTTTTTATTTCATTTTTTTACGGGCAACATGGCGGTATTTTTTTTTCAATTTAGGTTCGATCTAATTTTTATGATCGCTAATAAATAGGGGTTAATATTTGGGGTGGTACTGTCGGAAATAGAGTTATCAAAAGCTCAGCTTTCATTGATAGCGTTCAGTTATCATGACTATCGCAACTTTTTGATCCAGTAACACAAACAAAGTCTGTTTAATGTTCAAGTCTCACTCGTCAAAGCATAGTTTTTGATACTTTGACGTTTTTTTAACTGTGCGTATATCATTTAAAAAGTTTATCTGAGGCCAACTTTACAGAAAAAAAAATCACTCAATTTTTATTAGTTAAATTTATAAGGGACATTTTTCAATCTGTTGGTCAAAGATATGAACATATGGCGTAAAAAAGATATCGCTTGGCAGAGTTTTAACAGCAAGGGCAGAGTCCGTTCCATGAAAACTAGTCGACCTGAAATTTCAGAGCAAGCGGATCAAATACGAAAAATAAAGACGAACAGGTCAAATAAACAATTACATACAAATATTTCAGACCACGATTAAATTTACAGGAAAACGGATTTCAGATTTTTAAAAAGACCGTTGAATATCAAAAACAAATGGTATATTCTGATAGGCACTTCTTTCATTAATTGAATCTTTGAACTTCGCACAATTTAATATCATCAAATACAGTGCTGATTTAAATTATCCGAACAAAACGAACATAACTTCAATTTTCAAACGCGTTTTTCTCAAATTGGGTTCAGATTAGACAAAAAGTGAAGAGGACAAAAGTTGCTTAGAATTTCACCAGAATTAATATGGTGCCATTTTTTCTCCGAAATTCTCAACAAAAATTTTACCCCAAAAATGGGTCAATTTGGCTTTTTTCAATTAATCAAGAATTACGCTGAAACTACTTTGTTAATTATATGAAAATTATATCTCAGGAAGCCTCTTACGCAGCTCAACAAAGTTTAAGAGGGGTTAAATCTCCAAAAATTTGTGCAAATTGTTTAAAATTTATTTTTAAACAGAGATTCTGAGTTTTATATAGTAAAAATCACAGTTATTGACTATCAAGTAAACATTTTTTCATTTATACTGGTTTTTGGAGATTTAACCCCTCTTAAACTTTGTTGAGCTGCGTAAGAGGCTTCCTGTGATATAATTTTTATATCAATTAACAAAGTATTTTCAGCGTAATTCTTGATTAATTGAAAAAAGCCAAAATGACCCATTTTTGGGTTAAAATTTTTGTTGAGAATTTCGGAGAAAAAATGGTGAAATTCTAAGCAACTTTTGTCCTCTTCACTTTTTGTCTAATCTTAACCCAATTTGAGAAAAACGCGTTTGAAAATTCAAGTTTTGTTCGTTTTGTCCGGATAATTTAAATCAGCACTGTATAGGAAGTGAGTCTGACTTTCGTTCTAAATGCTCGGTTTTATTCAAGCTGAATTGCTTTGAACCGCATGATCTTTATTCAATGCGCAAAAAAAATTGAACAAATTTTCGAAAAAATGAATTTGAAAATTTTGCTAACATTTCTTTAAAACGCGCCCATGGTAAAATGTTCAGCCCTGCTTTTAGAAAGAATTAGCATACTTGAAATAAAATTAAACTCTTAGCCATCAGAGCTATATTTCGTTTGCAGATGATCCCCTGGGGAATCAAAGCAATTACCTTTGGGGAAGAAAAGAGTTTAATTGAGCACACGCCCATTTGATTCAAATTCAGTTAGGCCATTACCACTTCCATTCAAAGGGCAATCGAATTTGACTGAAATTCAATTAAGTACCCCTGTAATTTATGCGCAATGATCTTACTCAACTTCTCGAAAAATTAGCTCAACCAATTTAAGTTGAAAATGAAAGTGATCGAATTTGATAACGGTTGGAATACAATAGAAACGGTTCAGCCTGGTTCAAGTCCCGTTATGACTTGAGTTGAGGTAATTATTTGAATTGACAACAAAAATGTGTGACGTCAAAAAATGAAATGGTTGGAGTTTTCACGGAAAAGATTATGAGGCGCCATAGATGTATCCCTTTTGAAATATATATGTGGATCGATTGTGAGCCTTTTATTGAACTTAGTTGAAAAATGACACAAAGAACACTAAATATAGTATTTTGTGATTTGAAATGTGCCCCAGTGTCTGTTAAAAACTATACGGTGTTGGATCTAAAAAAGTTTTGAGTATTTTTCGTTTTCATCACTTGAACGGATCTCAAAATGCGCAAAGCGAAACCAAGTTCAAATGTTAAAAACTTGTGAAATAGTTTCGCCCAAATACTGACTGACTTTGGGTTCGGGGGTCTTTTTATACGACCCAAACGAGAAAAAAACTACTCCGCAATATCTGTACTTAGTTTTTATTAATTTCAGTTAATCAAATTCACGTATAACTACGCAAAATTTTTGAAATTGAAACACACCAAACTTGGGGGGAACAGCAGAAAATACGAGAGCAGAAATGCCCTTGGAAACACTTACTGGTTTGAAGTCCATATATGAACAGGTCAGGTCCCTCCACTTGCACGCCTTCAACATGTCCTTCATCTTGTGACCAGCCCTCATCTGGAACTCCTCCAGACTGAAGTCACGTGTCCTGTCAGCATCCGACAGAGAAGCCAACTTCTGTCGCAGCACCTTCGTCTGAGCAACAACATATATTAAACAAGGATAGCCGGTTGCTATGAAAGTAGCACAGAATATTCTGACCATATTCATAAATACTACAAATAAAAGCTCTTCAAATTATTGAGTGCTTCAAATTAGTGTTGATTTTTGTACGTACTATCATGAGAAAACAGTAAACATGGGTAAATAGTTAGTAAATTAGGTATAATCGACAACAATTGTCTTCGAAAAAGAAAAACAAATAAAAAATGGAAATAAAAAGTTTCAAAAAAAACAATTTCAAATTTTTTCTTTTTTTTGCACAATATTTTTTTGAGTTTTCTTTTTTAAAGCTTTCAAAGCTAGTTTAGTTTCAGTTTGGAAAAAGCAAGTTTTTTTTACCCTAAATGACCAATTTAAGAAGATATCACTTTATTTGGTCGAAATTAGACAAATGAAAACAACCGGTTTTTGTCGACACTGGGATTTTTTTTAGAATTTTTTTTAAATGTCGTTCGAATCACGACTGAAAGGGCTTTAATATGATACATCACTCAACCCAATCCAATAATTAATTATGGCACCTGATTTTGATTGGAAAAAAAGAAAAATCAAAAACACACCCAAATGAAAAAATCCTCCCCATTTTCAATGGCCGGAACAACAAGGACAGCCGGTCGCTACGCAAGCAGCACAGAAGGTTTCGACCACATTCTAAAAAATTCTTCGAATTAGTGTCTTTTCTTGTTCGCCGCGTATAGATAAAAAACACAAACGTGTAGAAATTCAGTAAACGTGCAGAAATTAAGGCTAAAATTGTCTTCAAAAAGGAAATAATCAAAAAAGAAAAAAAAAATTTTAAAAAAACTTTCTAAAATTTCCCCGTTTTTTTGCACTAAAATTTTCAACTTTTTTGAAATCATTTTTGTTTGCCAGAGAAGCGCTAAATAAAGCTCCCAAAACTCGTTTTCCTTAAAGTCGGAACAATGGTCGGAACAACAAAGAATTCCGGTTGCTGAGCAAGAATCACCGAAGCGCAGCATACTATAAGTCAAAAAATCTATACAAAAAAAAGACAAATTTGTAGAAAAGACGAATTTTCATTTTTCTTTTCATTCATTTTTTGACTGAATTTACTGCGAATTATTTACTGATAAATTTGCTGCTAATTATTTACTGCCAATTATTTACTGAATTTACTGCCAGAAAACTACAAAAATAAATACTTTAAGAAAGGACAAAAAAATTCGAATTTTTAAATTTTTATTTTTATTTGCTTCCAATTATTTTCTAGTAAGGATTGACTAGATTGAAAATAACTGTTAATATAACGTTAAATTGTAAATTAACGTTAAATTTGAATTACGATGTCAGTCAATTTCACTTAAAATCATCAAATTTCGTCTTATTTCAGTGAATTAGGCTTCAGTGAATTGTTACCTGTGGGTTGTCATCACTGAAAAGGTCCTCTTTGAGGGCCATGTTGTCATCTATGACGTCATACATCTTGCCCGCATTGTAGAGGTCACTGGGGGTGAATGCAGACAGTCTGATTGGGTTCAAGTTGCAGATTGTGATGGCAGGGAAGTCTACAACACAACACAAATAGATAACGACTATATAAGTTCTTCCAAAAAAGTCCTTTCCCATTATAGCCCCCACACTTCTTGGCAAAAAAAGTACCCCACCTTAATAGCACGCAACCCCAACTTTAATGTAGAGGGGCTATAGTTTCCTGTTACTAGGCCGGAGAACTTTAACGGGAAAAAGATACAAACCGAAAGCACACAATTTTACTCTTTTTGCGGTTACTAATATCTCGTGCTCACTCACTCAACTATTTCAAATGGCTTTAATTAATATAAACTTTGATTATTTACGGTAAAACACCTTTGCTTACTGCAGGGATAAAGACATTAGGTATGTTTGGGGGGAAACTATTATATTTTGCCCTTAGTTTGGGGGAAACTAAGGGCAAAGTGCAAGTGTTTGGAACCCATTTGAGATTCGGAATCATTGCACGAGCATTATCATGACTAAAAAAAGGAAAATAAAATTTCCAAATTATTACACAATTTTGCTATACAATCAGTCAGTGGTTTTTGACAATGTGCTAATACAAGTGCTTTACAAAGCAAATAAATTTTCAGTTTTATAGAACAGCTTTAAAAAGGTTCCCATATAAAAGTCTTCGAAAGTGCAGAGGGAAACCCTGAAAGAAAGACAGAAAGAAAAAAAAAGAAATAAAGAAAGAAAGAAATGAAGAAAGAAAGAAAGAAAGAAAGAAAGAAAGAACGGAAGAGAGAGAAATACTGGATTGTCTGGATTGTCTACTCACCTAAGGCCTGTGACTCTTCGTCTAGCTGTGTAATATGTTGGTAGGAGTAGTAGAACTGCACCTTCTTCACACTCACACTGATGAAGTAGACCCAGAACAGGGCGAACACCAGGGTCCACAACACCCGCTTGATGGTGATACGCGCACCCGGCAGCACCACGTATCTACACACAACAAACAATATACAATATTAGTAAAATAGTGAGTCTCCTCAGCTACTTCCCCCTTTGGCACCTTGTAATGAATCGCCACCGCTATAAATAACTAATTCCATGGTTAAGCATATGTGAATTTTGTACCTAGTAACAAATCTCCCGACTGCCTTTTAAGGTTTATGAAGCAGTAATAACATTAAAAAATTAAATGTAATAATAAAAAATGAATTTTTTTTATAATTTGAAATTTATGAAAATCATCCCCCCACACGCCATATAAAGTACAAAAGGATAGGTTTCGCTCCTTGGAACAAATCAATTATGGCAAATAAGCTTCGTTCAACCAATTTGGAACGATTTATAAGACGGATTAAATCTCCGGGTACGCGTTAATAGCGCGAATTATATCGCGCGTTAATTGTCCCAAATTGGCCAAAATGGCCATCTTTAAACCCCCATAACTTTACAAAAAATGATCACAGGTGAGATATCTTTTCAAATTTGAGCTCAGGACAACAATACTTTTTGAATGATATAAAAAAATTCTGTCAAAAATGGCTAGTTAAAAAGTCGAAATTTGTCTGAAGAAAAAAAACCCACCCCAAGCACAAATATTCCGTTACTTTCGTACCAAAAGTGGGAACAATTACGAAGTGATATGTTTTGTAGGAGTAAATAAAGAAAATAACGTGAAATTTAGACCAAATAGCTTTCCTCAATTATGTTAGAATGATTTTTTTTCGGATTGAATGGCCGCTCACGCATAAAAGCTAAATCGCTCGCTGACTCTCAGATAATGACAGCTTTAGAACCTACAAAACTTTGCCAATAATGATCGCAGATGAATTGTGGTTTTTTAATTTTGAATTTCAGAGCCTTGATATCTTAGAGATGGTTCAATATTCCGACACAAATTACTAAAAAAAAGTCGAAATTTGTTTTAAAAAATCAAAAAAGCACAAATAGTTGTTCACTTTTGTTGAAAGTCGGCGTCATTAAACATGCACAACTTATAGACACCTTCTGAAATAGATGTTGAATAAAATTAAACGCATATTTCAAGCTGAACTTTGCAAACAAGCGAAGAAATGGCAAAAAATAGCTCTTAAAGGTCAAAAATTGAAAAACTGAAAGCATTTAACTTCAAAGAGTAAAAAAGGTAATCGGTTGTTGTGTAAATAGCACAGAAAGTTCTATCCACATGAAAAAAAAGCTATTGAAAAATCGGTTTCTCTTTTTTTAAACTGCCTCGGTTTTTGTTCTTGTTGAGATGAGAGGGTCAAAACGAAAGCGCATATATCAGGCATATTCGATAATAGTAATTAGGGCATATTCGACGACAGTTAACTCCAAAAATCTAATAAAAAAAGATGTTTAGAAAAACATGAAGTCTACTAAAAAGATTATAGGTGCTTTTGAGCCATTTCATTATTTGAGCGCATAGAAACTTGGACAACTTCGCCACGCTCAAATAAGCAGCACTTCAGTGAGTAGAGCAAATGAATCAGCGCAAAAAAAAACGTCTATCAACTTGATCCAGTGCCAATTTTCACATCAAGAAAAATTAACGATAGAATATAAGTTAGTTGTATTTCCACTTTAAACCTCAAAGCGTCGATATCTTCGAAATTCAATTTTTCGCGAACAGTTAGAGTACACAACATTTCGAAACGTATTAAGTTCTCTAAATATCGAGGCAGTGCAATGTTTACAACAGTTGCCTATCCACGGAGATGATTATCGGAGGCTCGCAACACTTGCGATGCTGAAATACTAAAAAAAAAGACAAAAAGTAGAAAAAAATGAAGCGTATTGCGTACCTTTATTTCAAACAATCTGCAAAAACAATTCTGCAAAAACAAGTACATTACAACAGCAAAAAACTTCAGACTGAAATCAAATTGGCTGCAATGCATTAAATTACTACAAAAACTATTGACGAACCGTTGGAAAAAATTCCAAATCGGCTCCTTTTCCAGTTCCCCCCTTCAAATTCAATTTTTGAAAGCTCATTTAACGTTGTTGTCATAATGCAATAAAATCTGGCGTGGTGAACAAATCGACAACTGTGAACAAATTTGTTCTTCATACTTTACTGCGTAACATCACGCACTTAGCCGTAATAACAGGTAAAACAAACATAAAACTCGGTGTTTTGAAAAAGGGGAAACTGGAAAATAAATCCCAAATCTTCTGTTTTCTATATGTTCATCGATGAAGACGAACAAAAGAATATCATTGGAAACAAAATTACCCGCAAACGAAACCGATTTAAAAAGACTTTTAAAAAATGAAGACAAGAAATTGTAATTATAATTCGAAAAACAAACAACAGAAGATGATCATTGTATAATAGGTTCGAAGACTATAGAAAACGCATTATGTGCATTAAGGAAACCAACTGAAATCGACATTTCCAAACAAAAATCATCTAGAAAAATTCAGAAAAAAAAGAAACGAACATTTTGAAAAAGGTTGTTCCCAATTTGCTAAGCCTGCAGGCTTGGTTAATGTCATTCTATCAAAAAAACGCGGTTTTCGTTTTAACACAGGGGCGAAACAGAGCTTCGCATAACTTGCGATATGAAAAAAACAGTACTGCAAGCTAGCAGACAGGAAGAGAAAAGAGAGACACTAAGTCCAAAGAAAACGTAGAAGTTTTCGAAGACACCGAATTTTCAAAAAATTAAAAATGTTGTCTGGAATGCTTTTCAATCTGCGGGAAAAACGTCCGAAAACACATTGGACGGCGTTTAATGAAAATTCAAGAACACTTTTGAGCAAAAAAAGAGTTGTTGTCCAAGAAAACTTTGAACTACAATTCTATTCTGAGATTTTCAATTTTTTTGCAATCCGGAAAAAAGCATACAAATTATGGTTCCTTCGAATGGCTCAAAACAAAATTAGTAAACCAACAAAACATAAGTTCAAATCATCAAGAACAAAAAAGTTTTTCGGCGAAAATTTTTTTTAACACAGAGGCGAAGCAGCGCTTCGCAAACACTTGCGAGAATACGACCAAAAAGCAGCTCTATCAAGTGTCATAAGAAAATGTAGAAATAAGCATCGAATTTGCAAAAAACTCGAGTCTCAGCGAAAACTGTGATTAGCAAAAATCTGCGATCTAGCAAATTTGAGTCTCACGCACTAACCATTCAGCCACGGATGCTTAAAATCCCCAAAAACTAGCCACCAGTAACGCAGCTGCTTATGCTAATAATATGCCAAATCGATGCAGCAAAAGTAGCACCAAATACAAAAAGATGAAACTTTGCAGGTAATAAAAAGCACATCATAAAACCACATCATGTATAAATTATGCATTTCAAAAAATTGCGGGATATATTGAGTTTCTGAAATCGAAAATTTCTGAAATCGATATTTTATGATTGTTATGTTGTTGGAAACAAATAGCTTTCTTCGGTTTCAATCATTTTGTATAGCCAATTCGATGCAGCAAATATTGTTGCTTTAAGTCGCAACAATATTTGCGACTTAGTCGCAACAAAATTTGCGAATTAGGTTGGAAAAAACAGAAACTTCGTACTATAACACTTTGCTTCGCAATTGTAGAAAGGAAATATATGAAGTCAAGGCTAGTAGAATTACAAATTGCAGGAGTAAATGAAAAGATAAAAAGCAACTACAATGAAAAATGCAAGCGCAAAAAATTACTAAGATGCGGCAACTAAGAGAAATGCCAGTTGGAAAAAAACAGAGGTCAAATTCGGACCCCCAAGCGTATTGATAGCCTCCGTACTAAGTGTGCCGAAGACGCTTAAAAATTTAAGTAGAAATTAATCAAACTTAAAAAATCAGTCATTGACGAAAAAATCATCGGAAATTGGTACAAAAAAGGTAGCTCAAAACCTCATGAGCTCAAATATTTGCACTAAAAGTTTAAAAATAAAACAGCCGACTGGTCAATTAACCGCCAAAAAAATTTCGAATGAAATTACCACAAAAAAATGTTCAGCAAAATAAATTCAGGTTTATTCTGAGCTTTCGAACAAATTTTAATATACCTAAAGCAATTCTACTAGCAACAAATCAAAAAATTCAAAATACTTTAAAAAGACGACACCCAATAAATCTATGAAATACCGAACGTTTTGATAACAAACGAACAAGGCATACTGTTTACTAGTATAGCAGTATAATCATGAAATCTGTTATATCTGTTAAAAAGAAGTGATAGATGTGATAGAAGTGAAAGTGATTCAATGATTGTTTTGGACAGTTTATTTACCAGGAAAAAAAGTGTAAGTTCCAAATTTATAACCAGGATAGCTAGTTGATGTGCATGGAGCACAGAATGTTCCGACCATAGCCTTAAAAAAAGACAAAGTTTTTTCAAATTAATTTATCTTTTTTTCGGCGTGGTGTGATGAAAGGAGCTGAACAAAAAAAACTGAAGATAAGATATATTTGACAGTCATAGTAAAATAAGCAAATTGAAAATTATTTTTTTTCGAAAAATTACATGGAAATTTTTTTTTAATTTTCGAAATATTTTTCAGTTTTGCAGTTTTTTGAATTTTTGAAAATTTTGATTCCAAAAGGCGCTAAAATACTCAAAATAAAATAAGGTTACTCAATTAAAATTAAATTTTTACATTTTAAATCACGCTATTCTAAGCTTTTAAGCAATTTAAATAAGACTCCTCGCTCACTATATTCCTTCGATATAAGCCGAAAAGTCAAAAATTTCAAACCGGTTTATCTCGACAGTGAGATTTATTTGAAACGATTTGATGCGGTTCAAATCACAACTGTAAGGACTTTAATATGATCGATCAGTCAAACCAGTCCGATGATTATTTGTGTTGCCTGATTTTGCATGGAAAACAAACAGAAAGAAAAAACTAAAACACCTGAATACAAAATTCCTCCCCATTTTCAATGGTCGAAACAACAATTGCTGATCGCGAGCGCAATTATCTTTCTGTACATGGAATTGAAAGGAGGCCAGACTGGAAAGTGAATGAGATACCAAGAGCAACATGCAG